GTCGGTTGGGTGTCTGCCTTCCTTTTGGGTCATGATCCTGGGGTCCTGAGATCGAGCCCTGGGTCAGGCTCCTTGCTCAGCAGGGAGCCTGCTTCCCCTTCTCCCTCTGCCTGCCGCTCCCCGCTGCTTGTGCTCTCTCTCTCTCAAATGAATAAATAAAATCTTTAAAAAAAATTTTTTTTTAATTAAAAAAAAAAAGATCTTTTCTTTAATGCAACACTCAACCTTGATTGGAAATTTTGGCCATGAAATTGTTAAAGTTAACTGGACTATTGAGTATGGAACCAATATTTAAACTTCTTTAATGCAAAATAACATTTGCCTGTGGTTACAATTGAGTTTTAAGCTTTGCTTAAGCCACTGATCAAACTAGCCCAGGGTTTGACTGACTACCTTCCACAGGCCTCATTCAGCCCGCCACCTGTTTTTATGAACTAAGTTTGGTTGGAACATAGGCACATCCACATGTTTACATATTATCTGTGGCTTCTTTGGGTCTACAAAGGCAAAGTCGAATAATTGCCATAAAAACCATATAGCCAGCAAAATCTAAAATACCTACTCTCTGGCCCTTTGTGGAATGTGTGCTGACCTCTGAAATAGTCAATAGAAGACTAAGTTGGAATACAACTATAAAAATAAAGTTTCCCTTCTGTTAAGAATGTTGAGTTCATTCATTTATTTGAAAATATTTAATCAGGTTTGGGGCGCCTGGGTGGCTCACTCGGTTAAGCATCTATCTTTGGCTCAGTTCATGATATCAGGGTCCTGTGATCAAGCGCTGCATCAGGCTCCCTGCTCTGCGGGTAGCCTGCTTTTCCCTCTCCCTCTGCTGCTGCCCCTGCTTGTGCTCTCTCTCTCTTTCAAAAAAAATAAAGAAAATCTTAAAAAAAAAAAACAAAAAAAAAGAAAATATTTAGTGAATGTCTAGAATATTCCTTAGCACTTTCAAAGCCCTAGGGACAGAGTCATGGAGAAAACTGAGTGTTTATCTCCAAGAAGCTTATATTCTAGTGGGGAAGAGATAGACCAACATAAACATACACTATGGCACATGGAGACATGCTGTTTAAGGCAACACAAGTAAGTATTGAAGGAAAAGGGGGCTAAGGTATGCTCTTTTCAGTAGGGTGGTGGGAAAAAGACTTGGGTGACATGACATTTGAGCAGAGACCACCACCCGCAAAATTAAGGAAGTGAGTCTTGCTTTCAGGTAAGAGAATTCCTAACAGAAGTAACAAAGATGAACGAAGAAATGAAAGAGATGAACAGAAATGAAATTGTGCTTGACATATTTGAGGAAAAGCAAGAAAAGATCAATAGACTATATCTGGGTGAGCAATGGGAGAAGAAAAGGTGATGAATTTAGAGATAACAGGTGCCAGATCTAATAAAGGATTTGGATTTCTGTGAAATGGAAGTCCAATGAACGGTTTACTCTAAAGGAGTGAAACCATCTGACTCGTGTTTAAGAGCACTCTGGCTGTGGTATGTAATATAGGAGGAAACGTAGAAGCCTCTGCTAGGTTTTGCTGCAGTAACAGGAGCTCCCCTACCCCTCCGAATTTCAGTGGTTTAGAGCCACAAAGGTTTATTACTCATTCAGGTTAGATGTTGGCTATTGCTCTGATTGATACTGTCTATATGCCATATGGAAAGAACAGCCCAATCTGTGATATCACTGGGTTCCCGGCAGAGGGGAAAGAGAAATGGCAGAATCACATGGCGGCTCTTTAAAGACTGTGTTCAGTATGTCATTTTCATACACATTTCAATGGCCAAAACAAAGGTCATGGCCATGTCAATTGTCAACATCTCACAGGAAGGGGTAGTGAATATGTGGGAACGTTGATGAAATCTACAAAAGCAGTTAATTGCAGAGGTTTTGGGGGGCAAGATGATAGAGATGTGCTGAGATGTGGTTATATTCTGGATAAATTTTAGACTGGATTGCTAACAAATCAAGATACTAGAGAAAGAGAAGTTAATAATGGCTCTAATGTTTTGCATTTAGCTGATACAATAGGGCCAAATTTATGAAATCAACAAAATCTAGCTCCTTTTTATTCACACTTAACAGCTACTTTCTTTTTTTTTTTTTAAAAGATTTTATTTATTTATTTGAGAGAGAGAGAGAGAA